TACATCTCTAAAAGAGATTCAAGTAAATTGGTTGGGTCAAAAATATTCCCATTAAACCCAAAGTATTCAAATCAAACAACATTAAGCATCACACTTGTTCACAGTTAAAGAAGAAAAACATCAGGTACTAGAAAGATCCACAAAATAATATATTCAAAATAATAATCATGCATCTTGAATAAACAATTTAGTGTATACGAAATACTTACTTGATGCAGAAGACGAAATAATTTGTGATCTTGATAATCATACGGGCTTGATCGATCTTATAGCAGAAAACTGATGAGATAATATCTTGACTGCCCCTTCGTCTTGATGCCACCACTATTCGCTTAGATGGTAGAGTAATCGTGCTGATAACGTGTTGTAATATAGATTGACAATATGTAAAATCTATGTGTAAAATAGACAAAGATAGAAACAGTAGAAGAAGAAGAGAATAAGAGAGAAGAGATACGCCGTTAAAACCATCATCTTATTCATTCACTTGAGCCCTATATATAAGGGAATATAATGTACATGAGTAAATACCTAATGGGCTCCTGGCCCATGTCTACAAATCCTATATCTAGGTAATGCCCACAACTTAATATTTACAACAAATAGCAATAATTGTTTACAATTAAATATAAGTATTTATTAGGCTAATTTGAGGTTTTTATGGAAATTAATGAACCGATTGAGAGCTTCTAAAATCAATCAATGTTATATTAGTTATTCAATATAGTTACCAAAGGTTCTCATACAACATTAGGGTTATATTAGTCAAATTATTATGGAATTACCAATTTAGTTTTTCAATATTTTTGAAATATCTGAACATGTAATTATTATTTAGAATAGTGTTATTTTTAATCTAATTCAAACTACGAAGTATTTTTTTTTTACCAAGTATTATTTCGATGCGTGCGAGGCTGTCACTTACGCTCAACGTGCGAGGGGATTGATTCTTTAATCACCTTTTTGTCTTCTCCTTTTTTCCACTTTTCGCTTTATTATATTTATTTATTTTGTATTTGAAAATTGTGAATGAAGTTATAAATGCTTAGGGCATGCTTGTTTATGGATTTTTTCAATCCAATTTTTTCAACTCAAATATTTAACTCAACTTTAACTCAACCCCACTATCTTTAATATTATTCATACAATTAAATAATAAAAACCAATCATTCTTACACATCACATCAACTTTAATTCACTATTCATCCACTCACATAATTTTAACTACCAATCATTTATCTCATACTTTATATCAAATCAACTTTAATCATTTTTATTTTAAATATAATTTTAATATATTTTTTAAATTCCACTAACAATTAACCACATTACTTTTTCAACTTTAACTATAGTTAACAAAATGAAATATTTTGGTTGAAAAAATCCATAAACAAGCGCCCCCTTAGTAGGGTATGGCATAAAGACTGTAATCTCTATACCATTGAATAATAAGTTCCCAACCAACTTTCTGAATTATTATTATTATTAAAAAAGAAATAGAAATAAATCCTTCGCTATAATCAATATCACATTTTTCACATTTTTCTATCCCAATATATTTAAATTTTTTTATATTTTATGTCTTTTGTTTTTATTAAAAGCTTACAGACAGACAAAATATTCCATTAAAGATTACATCATGTGCCAAACACATGAGTCATGACGCATATCAACTATTTTGTCTTTGCATTTGTCATTTGCACTTTCCACAATCTTGTTTATATTTTTATTAGATCATGGGAACAACAAATTTTAATTTATCCCTGAATTTAAATTTTTAGTAAAATAAATATTAATCAAATAATTAGAGTCATTAAAATGAAACAAGTCCATCTTTAACTCAACTCAACTTACTTAAGATTTGAAAATAGGATTTTTTATGTTATTATATACAGCTGGACTCGATCATACTTTGACTCGTTAATATTGATAAATGATCAGTCGAACTTGAACTCAGTTATCGGCTCGGCTCGAACATCCGATGCTTAACTGAGTTCGGCTTGTTTAGACTTCTCATTATAGAAATAGCGTATTAACACAAGTTGTGCAGCTTTGTGTAATTAAGCTATATTCAAATTTGTTTAATTACTAACAAAATTGAGCAACTGGATTTGATATAAACCATCAGAGACTTTTACATGATAATATGCCCGACATATGCAAATACCAATTAATTAATTGTGCCTAATACTACTGCTCTAATTAAGCTAGCAATTATGACCTAAACTATTAGACGTTTGAAACTGTTTCTTATAGCTCTTAAGTTTACACAAGAAACATGATTTAATTCAAACACACGAGAAAAGTATTAGGGTTTTGTATTTAATTACAAATTTTCATTGAATTTCTTGTTGGACTATTCTGCAGATCGATTTTTTGTTTTTTATTGGAATCTGACCATAATTTTCTGTTATCAATTAAATTTGAAACGAATTCATTAATGTTTAGGAGCATTTCATGTATGGATCAAGTCACTCTAAATGTATTTTACACTACAAAAAAAATGATATATTCCAACGGAAAATACTACGGTAATATATTTCAGTGAGATTATCAACGAATATTCCAATGATGTAATTTCCGTTAGAATGATTCCAACGATAATTCGAACGAAAATATTTTGTTGGTGTTAGTTTTCCATTGGAATTTAGATGGAATTAATTTGATGATTCGATCCAACGGCTAATTTTCCCACGGATTTTTACCATAGAAATTTTTGTTGGAGTATGCAATATTGTTGGAATTTTTATTTCTACCCCCGTTGGAAAATCTACAACTGGAATCGTCAAAATTCAACGAAAATTCTAATGAAAAACTCATTCCAACAGAATAATTTTTGTCGAAATTTGCGTTGGAATCCATTAAAATATATTTCCATTAAATTTTTTTGTTGGAATTTCATCATTTTTTTTGTAGTGTTATATATCACAAATTTATGTATGAATAGGTCTAAATATTAGAAGAGTTGATCTGCAAATTTTTATAATAAAATAAATACTTATTATGAAGTTATCATACTTATGTTTGTTATATTTTATAAGTATGACATTTCGATTTGTAAGTATGCATAAAAAAAATTTATTGAAAAATTATAATTTTATAATCGTTAAATCTATCTAACAACAAAATAGAGATGTATATACACATAACCAAAATTCTTGTAACCTAAGATATAGTATTAAATATATAAGTGGTCATGTTGAAGATATCTTAATTAAGGAACCCCCAACTTGTGGGAACCACTTTATGCCTTAATTAATTAACAGGGTTTTAAAACACCACAACATAAATTCAAAACCCTACAGAGGGAGGACTTTAATTGGATGATACCAAAACTTTAATGTCTCATAAACCATAAAAAAGTAGGCATAAATAATAGGTTTA